AGGAAAAGTATTTGTCAAATGGGCTGTAGGAGAGAGAACTGGGACTAAAGTGATTCTAAAAGAGTAAAAAGTCCATGTCTGTGGTGACGGATCATTTATAAAGTTGATTAATGGGATGAGTGTTAAATCTTTGCAATGCGAGAAGGAAAATGACGGATACAAGAGATTCGGGATGCACGGTAATGCTTCATTCTTTCACATTTATTTCAAGCAGCCTTTGCTGTTGGCTTTTTGTCCAGAAACTTCTCTCTCAGGGATTCCAGCGACCGTTTCAAATCTCTTAAGCTCGTCAGTAAATAGTCGCTCCGTTAAAGAAATCTTATTATCTTCAAAGCCCAGACAAACCGAGCTTCAGGTGTTGTGGCAGGCAGGTGCAACAAGGAAGTGCACGCTTGTCTCATTTAGCAGAAAGTATTTCTTTTATTGCTCCCAACAAGCACCTAAAGCCCTGGAGGATTGTAGAAATCCCCAAGGGAGACGCCGTCCCCGTGTCCCTCTGAGGACGATTTGGCAGCACAAGTCCAAGAAACGAGTGTCCAGGTCTTTGTTTAAGGAATTCCTCAGGGAACACGATCTATATTTATTAACTTTAAATGTTTCGTAGTCTTTCAGACCGCACTAAGTGCCAGAGAAAACCCAGCGGTCTTGTAGATTTGTAGATTTCTTTAGTCTCTGCAGCACCTCAGCCGTCAGTGTTCAAGTTCACAGCTTGTCAACTCGAGGTTGGCTTTAAACGGGATTCTGCCGTCGCTGGGCAACTTCTAAGAATGTATTTTCTTTTAATTTAGAAGGTGGTTTGTGTCTCTGGGATAGTTTCTATTCTCCATTTGACATTTTTTTTTAACAGTCGTTGCCGCTGGGTTTTAAAAGCATCTATTGTCCAACGTCGCAGAGCGAACGGGGGACGTGGAAATACTCTCCGTCCATCCATCTTGGGAGCTGGATAAATGGAAAAATACAGGTGCTGGTCATAAAATTAGAACATCATGAAAGTTTATTTCAGTAACTCCGTTCAAAAAGTGAAACTTGTATATTCATTCATTACACACAGACTGATATATTTCAAATGTTTGTTTATTTTAATGTTGACGATTATAAATGACAACTAATGAAAACCCCAAATTCAGTATCACAGAAAATTAGAATATTAAGACCAATTAAATAAATATATTTTTAAGAAATGTTGGCCAACTGAAAAGTATGAACATGAAAAGTATGAACACGTACAGCACTCAATACTTAGTTGTTGCTCCGTCTGCCTGGATTACTGCAGCAATGTGGCGTGGCATGGAGTCTATCAGTCTGTGGCGCTGCTCAGGTGTTAGGAGAGCGCAGGTAGCTCTGATAGTGACCTTCAGCTCTTCTGAATTGTTGGGGCTGGTGTGTATCATCTTCCTTTTCACAATTCCCCATAGATTTTCTTTGGGGTTAAGGTCAAGCGAGTTTGCTGGCCAGTTAAGAACAGGGGTACCATGGTCCTTAAACCAGGTACTGGTAGCTTTGGCACTGTGTGCATGTGCCAAGTCCTGTTGGAAAATGAAATCTGCATCTCCATTCAGTTGGTCAGCAGCAGGAAGCATGAAGTGCTCTAAAACTTCCTGGTAGATAGCTGTGTTGACCTTTGACCTCAGAAAACACAGTGGACAACACCAGAAGATGACATGGCATCCCAAACCAGCACTGAAAAGTTTCACTTTTTCAATGGAATTACTGAAATAAATCAACTTTTTCATGATATTCTAATTTTATGACCAGCATCTGTAATTTATGTGCCAACTTCCTTTTTGGTGTGCGGCTACATCTAGGAGTAAGAAAAGTCTATTGAAAATTGGGTTGTCATATCAAAATCTAAAATGGCACCCGCCATATATCTTGTAATATACTTAAACTGCCATTACACCTCAGTGTTTTGCCTACCATTATACAAGCAGGGTGCCCCGCCCTGTCAACAGAACCGAGCATCCTGCCTACTGAATGCACCAAACGCGTTAAGGTTAACTTGCATTTCCTGTTCAATTCCAGTAGTCCAACTCCTTAAAGGAATGATTGATTTTTCCATTTGCCTTATGACACTGGGATTTATCATTAAGGAAAATACTCTGACAATCATGCAACTGCCTGAACTGATAGCAGAAGTAACTAACTGCCCATGAGGTAGTGCTCTGAAATATAAATAGAGTTCAGACAATTGTTGTTAAAACAAAAAAAAATCTGTTTCTCCTGCAAGTATCGTCTGATTTCCGAGTTCCCAAAATTAAGGAAATCAGAACCGATAAATAGGCCGGCTGATTTATCGGTGCACCCCTACTGGAAACCTGTCCAGGGTGTCCCCCGTCTCTCACAGTGACTGCTGGGACATGGGTGCAAGCAACCACTGAGACCCGGAAAGGAAGAAGTGCGTAAAGATGATGAATGGCATCGGTAATACAAACCGGATTCCAAAAAAGTTGGGACACTAAACAAATTGTGAATAAAACCTGAATGCAATGATGTGGAGGTGCCAACGGCTAATATTTTATTCAGAATAGAACACAAATCACAGATCAGAAGTTTAAACTGAATGTATCATTTTAAGGGAAAAATCTGTTGTTTCCAAATTTCATGGCGTCAACAAATCCCAAAAAATTTGGGACAAGTCCATTTTTACCACTGTGTGGCGTCCCCCCTTCTTCTTACAACACTCAACAGACGTCTGGGGACAGAGGAGACCAGTTTCTCAAGTTTAGAAATAGGAATGTTCTCCCATTCATGTCTAATACAGGCCTCTAACTGTTCAATCGTCTTGGGCCTTCTTTGTCGCACCTTCCTCTTTATGATGCGCCAAATGTTCTCTATAGGTGAAAGATCTGGACTGCAGGCTGGTCATTTCAGTACCCAGATCCTTCTCCTACGTAGCCATGATGTTGTGATTGCTGCAGAATGTGGTCTGGCATCATCGTGTTGAAAAATGCAGGGTCTTCCCTGAAAGAGATGACGTCTAGATGGGAGCATATGTTGTTCTAGAACCTGAACATAGTTCTCTGCATTAATGGTGCCTTTCCAGACATGCAAGCTGCCCATGCCACAAGCGCTCATGCAACCCCATACCATCAGTGATGCAGGCTTCTGAACGGAGCGTTGATAACAACTTGGGCTATCCTTGTCCTCTCTGGTCCGGATGACATGGCGTCCCAGTGTTCCATAAAGAACTTCAAATCGTGACTCATCTGACCACAGAACAGTCTTCCATTTTGCCACACTCCATTTTAAATGACCCCTGGCCCAGTGCAAACGTCTGAGCTTGTGGAGCTTGCTGAGAAATGGCTTCCTCTTTGCACTGTAGAGTTTCAGCTGGCAACGGCGGATGGCACGGTGGATTGTGTTCACTGACAATGCTTTCTGGAAGTATTCCTGAGCCCATTCTGTTATTTCCTTGACAGTGGCATTCCTGTTTGAGGTGCAGTGACGTTTAAGGGCCCGGAGATCATGAGCATCCAGTAGAGTTTTACGGCCTTGACCCTTATGCACAGCGATTGTTCCAGATTCTCTGAATCTTTTGATGATGTTATGCACGGTTGATGATGATAACTTAAAAGTCTTTGCTATTTTACGCTGGGTAACAACATTCTGGTATTGCTGCACTATCTTTCTGAGCAACAATGGTGGAATTGGTGATCCTCTTACCATCTTGGCTTCTGAGAGACACTGACACTCTGAGAAGCTCTTTTTATACCCAATCATGTTGTCAATTGACCTAATTAGTGTTAATTGGTCTTCTACCTCTTCGTTATATGCTCAATTTCCTTTTTCTGCCACTTATTGCTACATGTCCCAACTTTTTTGGGATTTGTTGACACTGTGAAATTTTGAATCAACATATTTTTCCTTTAAAATGTTGCAATTACTCAGATTAAACTTTTGATCTGTCATCTATGTTATATTACGAATAAAATATTGACATTTGCCATCTCCCCATCATTGCATTCAGTTTTTATTCACAATTTGTTTAGTGTCCCAACTTTTTTGGAATTCGGTTTGTACAAGACAACAAAGATTTGAAGAACATGTTCATCAGCTGATCTCTTTCACAGCTTTAACTTTATTTTAGTGTACAGTGAAATGGTAACATGCAGTGACCGTGGGTTTTTGTTATAAAGTAAACTTTCTAGGATATTAAAGCTACAATCACTGTGCACAGCAGTCTAGTAATAATGTGACTAATCTCTGCAATGCTCTGCACCATTACTGTGCGGGTAAACCTACAGGTTATGCATCAGGACAACTTGGTTTTATAAAAGAAAAAGAGAATAGTCAGAACGTCTTAAATCTGTCTCTGCAGTCATTAGAATAGACGAGCAATGTTTTTAATCGATGCTGGCATTGGTGTCCCCGCTTTCAGGCCAAAAAGCCCCCCTCAACTTATCATCATTATGCTAATTGGTACCACTATTACCATAATGATGTTCCATTAAAAATAAAGGAAGAATGCATGTGATTTTAATTTATCTTCTCCGCACCCTTTATCTTCTTTTTTCAGGTTTTCTCTGCTTTTACCAAAGAGATTTAAGGGGCTGCCTGGATGTAAACACCTTTTCTTTCTACGTTCACTCTGTACTAAATCTCAGTCGACAGTATCTTCATTAATACAGCGACTCTGTCGCTGGCTGTGACTATTCAGTCCTACCTGTGTACAGCTGACAGGAAAACACCCAGCAGGACGACAAAGAGACAAATGATGTAGCCTGCCGGATGCTTCTACTTTTTGCAGAAGGGAATATTAAACTGTTGAAAATTGCAGCGATGTCTCCAAAAAAGGGTCTTTTTGTGTGAAATTGAGATTTTAGTCCTGTTAAAGAACATTATTCATGTACCAAAGATAGAAGACCTCTTCATGGCCTGAGTAAATTGAGATTGCATCAGTGTGCAGAGATGCTGGTGTCTCTTCTTGTGCGCGGTCTTCGATGAAATAGAATCGTATGAAGGGCTTTTTTATCTTTTGTGTTTTTTTGTTTTTTCCTCAGGTGACTCCATCCTCTAAGATTGTGGGGGATCTGGCTCAGTTCATGGTGCAGAACAACCTGACCAGAGCAGAGGTGGAGGAGAGGGCAGACGAGTTGTCCTTCCCGCAGTCCGTGGTTGAATTCCTACAGGGATACATCGGAATACCGCATGGAGGATTCCCCGAGCCCTTCAGATCCAAGGTAGAACATAGCTGAATTTTTTCCCCTGCAATTATTTTTGGTGCTTTTTTTTTTTTTTTTTTTTTTTTTTTGAGTAAATAATTTGGTATCACTTTACAATAAGGCTCCCCTTATAGATGACTAATACATAGTTTCTAGATACGTTATTAATTCTCTATAAACACTTTATAAATCATTAATAATTGTTTATTGTGCATTAATTAAGGGCAAAAAAGTCAAAACTGACTAATTTATTGCCAAACAGTGAAACTGCCACCTATATATTTCATTTAGAGTTATTTTAAACAATTCAGAAGTTACTTCCTTGTAAGAATAAGCATTTTTAAACTTAAGTTTCTTAGCATATAATATTGTACTTTATCACTGCATTATTATCTACAACTAATATTATATCCTTAAAAATTAGGTTTACAAATGATTATTGCGCATACAAGGAAGTAACTTTTGAAATGTTTAAAATAAAAACTCTAGATGAAATGTATAGGTGGCAGGTTTGGCTCATTGTTTGGCAACAAACTAATCAGTTTTCTCTTTCTCGCCCTTAATTAATGCATAATAAGCAGTTATTAATGATTTACAAAGTGCTATTAGAGGAATTAGCAAAGTATCTTTAAACTATTTTTAGCCATCTATAAGGGGAGCCTTATTGTAAAGTGGTATCAATAATTGTTACACTTCAATGTGTTAAATCTTATTTAGTTTTAATAAAAGTTTTAGATTGTTCTTGAGGCTTTAATCTTTAAGTCCAAGATTTTTTTTTTCTAAAAAGTCCATATGGAGATACCCAATCATGAGCCCACACAAAATTTTACATATCAAGACGTGAATTCTGCCAAATTATTGGTTTCATATGACAGTTGAGATTCTTCAAGAGGACGTTGAAGGCACAAATGAACACTGTGTAATTGCTATGTTCTGTTTTTTTTTTTTTTTTTTCTCATCTCTTTGTTTTCTTTTCACGGCTACAAAACAGCCACGTGGAGACTCGCACTTCAGGAGTTGTCAGTTTGATTTCTCATGAATAAAGTGAATGCACATGAATAAAGGCGCATTGCTCCAAAAACCGTTGGGCAGATTTAGCGGTTTAGACATTTACAGAAATGTTTAAAAGTGCTTTACTTTTTACTTTTTCCATGACGTGTAATCAACAAAACCAACACACATGACTGGTAGTGTAAAATATCAGGTATCTGCTGAGAGACAGTACCTGCTTTTATTAAAGGTCAGCCATTTTCCTCTTCCTTGTGGCTGCCAACAGTTCAAATATGCTCTTAAACATCTGTAAAAGTGAAATATTTAATCTTCTCTCCTCCCAGCAAATCAATATTGCCATGCCAAGTCCAATCCATCATTTCAGTTTGAATCATTGCTAAATTGCTGTAATATAAACCTGTCCTTGCATTAATACCCGTCATTGGGTTATGAGTCCCCTCTGCTCAGTCTTTGACTTTGTTTGCCTTTTTGAAACCGACTCCTGTCATCCTGCCAACCTTTTCCTCCCCGGCTCCTCATTCTCATTAACTTGATCAAATGTTTGTCGTTTAGCGTCTCCAGTAGTACCAGCTTTGACAGAAAATGATTTTCCGGTTTGCACGTATAACCTTTAGCGACCTGTGTATTTAGTGACACTGAATCTATCTTTTGTGTTTGTAAAGGTATGAAGCACTGAAGCTGCTCCAGTTAAATCAGGTGGTGGACAGTTCACTGTATATATTCAGTGGAATACGTCGTGCAGATAGGTGTGCACATGGACGCAAAGTGTTGTTTCCCCTGCTGTTTATTCTATTTTTATGATTTTTCTCCAACACTGAATTTAATTTTTAAGCTGTCATATCAAAAGCTTTTATTATTAAATTGCGTAGTTATTTTGAACGCAAAACAAACTTGTCAGTTTCTGATTAAAGCCACGAGTGTCAGGCTATTCCTCTAAATCCGTTTTAAAAACAACACAAGAAAACAGGGTTGAATCATCACTCACTTTGTTTTATTTCCAAGAAATCAAAATTTCTATGTGATATATTTTTAAACATTTCTGATAAATAGTTCCTCGAGCTTCTTCAAGATGTTTGTTTTTTTGGAAGAAACTTTTTTGGTTTTTTCAACTCTTTATTTTCAATACCAGACCATTTGTAGCTGCCGTCTGACACGTGAATCATTCAGGCCGTGAAGAGCCTCCTCAACGGAAGAGACGAGTGTTTTGTTGACACATAACTTTGCTCCAAAAAACATGTATTTATAGGATCCTTAGCAAAAAACTGCTAGAACTTGTTGCAAAAACCACAAAAGACAACTATGCAAATAACTTTTAAATAATCTCTTTAGCATGAAATTACATATAGGTTACTAGTCAACTTACTAGCTAGCACTGGCAAATTATTAGCTAATACTTTACTAGCTAGAATCTATACTACCACCTGTCACAAAAATCATAGCTAAACAAATAACTGTTTTGTAAAATTGTGTTTTTTTTAACCTAGCAAGTTACTAGCTTTTTAACTTGCTTGTATCTTTGTTGGAAATCTGCCACAAAAACACAACGGAGGACTTTACAAAGAAACAATTTAAAATTGGATCCAAATTGTCAAGTTATTAGCTTGTAACTGCTAGCTAGCTACAGTACTAGCTAATAATTACTTTCTAGTGCATTAGCTAGCTACATAGCACAGTAGCTAGCTAGTAACTACCAACTAGATAATACCGTAGCTAGCTAGTAGTTACTAGCTAGTACTGTAGCTAGCTAGTAACTACCAACTAGATAATATCGTAGCTAGCTAGTAGTTACTAGCTAGTACTGTAGCTAGCTAGTAACTACCAACTAGATAATACCGTAGCTAGCTAGTAGTTACTAGCTA